TAAAGTTAAATGTAAAGTTACCAATTACCCAGCAACTTTTCTTCTAAATATTTGCCCAGGAGAAATAGAAAAGTGCCAGCTTTATTCATAATGTATAAAACCTGCCAAATGTTCAACAACAGAAAAATGACTACACAAATTGTGGTCTATTTGCACAATGTAGTGCTGTTCAGAAAAAGAAAACTGAACTACACATGAAATCTCGCAGACATTAGGGTAAAGGAGAAATATGGAATTCCGGAACTGACAGTTACAGTGACACAAATCAGAACTATGGCTGTCTCTACTTTGAAACTGCAAAGGACACCAGCAAACTTTCCGGTGCTGCTGGTGTTGTAAACCAAAAATAAAATCCTAAGCACCCCCAGACCATCTGAATGGACTCCTCCTCTTAGCCAGGGCATTCCTAACCTGAAAAACTACTAGTAAAGTCATGATAGAAAGGCGGGTGGCGGGCTGGTCGGACATGCCTCATTATACCCTTCTCCATTTTGGAATTACTGATAAAAAAAAAAGACCCCACGTCTGAAAAGAAACATTTATACTCTTTTATGTGTGAAGCCTGCTACTTGCTATCCTAAGTCTTATGTTAATAACTCTCAACCCATTGTCAATCAAATAATCTTTGAATCTATCTATGATCTGGAAGGCCACCCACCTTCCAGTTGTCCCGCTTTATCGGAGGGAATCAATATACATTTTACATGTATTTAATTGGTGTCTCATGTTTCCCTAAAAGGTATAAAAACACATAAATCCCGACCACCCTGGGCACAGATTCTCAAGATCTTCTGAGGGCTGTGCCACCGGCCACTGGTCACTCATATTTAGCTCAAAATAAGTCTCTTCAAATACTTTAGAGTTTGAGTCTTTTCGTCAACAGTGTATAACACGCACTAGGGCGGACACACACACACTGAGCCTCCGCTACCTGCCAGATTCCATTCCGGGGCTTTCTCATGGTGCAAAACGGACAAAAACTCCAAGTCACCCTCCGGTTCACGACCACGGATCACATCCTGAGGCCCCCACATTTAGAAGCCAGAGTAGAGCAAAACCTCGCCCGACTCAGGCTCCGAGTTCTCCGTTCGACCCTCCCCAGCCTAAAGCCGGTACCCGCTTCAGGCCTTCCCAGCCCGGCCCTCCAGTTCCTTCTTCGGCCTCCCTTAGCTTGGGGTCTGGGTTTTCTCCTCCGCTGTGCAGCCGGTCCGCGACTCCCTTCACCCTCCCCAGCTCGGGCTTCCGGTTCTTTCCAGAGGTGAGGTAGGGGCCACCTAGACTTCCGCAGCCCCCCACCTCCCTCACGGTCACCCTCGCCCCAACTTCCTGTTCCTCATTCTGCCCTCCCAGCCTGGGTTCCCGGTTACTGCCTCGACCTCACCTTGCCGTCGGGGACCACCAGCCGCCTCTTCCGCGCCGGGAGGACGCGCAGCCGCAGCCTCCGCCGAGGGAAAGGGTCTACGCACCCGGAAACTCCAGGAGTCTATGGCCTGGTGCGGCCCCTGCGGCCAACGGGCTCGGCTTCAGCTTCAGGGCCCTTTCGTTGTTGGACTACGTTTCCCACAGGCCCCAGGGCCGCGGATGAACTTTGACCTTTGCATCTCTTTCCGGTGTTTTGGTTATTGAGGTAAGCCTGACTCGGGCAGGCTGCGGGAGGAGCTTGAGGTGAAGTGTCCCGGCGCTGCCAGGCGAGGTCAGTCCACGTGGAGCCGGGAGCCTCAGGCCTCTGTACGCGGGAGCTGCGGACGATGGTTGCTGGTGCTGTTGCTTGTTATGGCGTCATTGTGGTGTGTGTGTGTATGTATGCGTGTGTGTGTGACGAGACCCTAGTGTGTGCCGTGGGTGCTCTTTGATCGGGCTCATGGGACGGTGAGTAGGGGCGGGGCCTATCGTGTGAGCCTGGTCTATGGTAATGTGATCGTGTGACACCACTGTTGTGACTGTCCAACAGTCACAACAGTGAACGGCGTAGAGGCTTTTTTTTCTAAAGAAAAAGTGTGAACGGCGTGAGGCTTTAAGTGTGAACGGCGTAGAGGCTTTTTTTTTTCCATGAGCCTGTAGGAGTTTGTTTTGGGTAAAGCGTCATTTTTCTGACTCTGGGATGTCTGTGATGTAATCTCTTCGTGAGGTCTTACATACACACACACACACGCATATAAATAGATAGATTAGACAGATATGTAGAAGATAGATAAATGATAGATAGATACGATAGATAAATGAAGTTTCTTGGGAAAGGGGAAGGCATAGGTGTAGTATTCATTCCTGGGATAACTCCCCTTGCATGAATTTGGAGGCCATTTATACATTAAAGAACTACAGTATTTCCTGAGCTGTGTCCCCTGGAAACTGCTGTGAACTTAAAGAGTACACCTCTAGGCCTTGGTCGTACCTTTTTCTCGGATACAGGGCGGAGTCGACAATTTTCTAGTTTCCCTCTTCGATCTGGATGTGTTTGTTGTGTGTGATGGGCTTTTCTAGTGGTGAACAGTGTGTTCTTATTTAACCAGTCCAGGATGTCATGAGTCCTTTCTCCTCTTGGTTATGTAGTTCTGCAAGTGAAGGCCCCCTGAAGTGGAAGACAGCATTGGTACTAATGGCCAGCTCAAGGTTAGTTTATTTTTTTCTTCATTTACCTCTCCCTTAGCCTTCCCTTCCCAATTAACAAGAAGACCGTAGAGATGGGTCCCCTTGTCCTCCAGTGACTTTCCAAATGCCCATTTCCTTTTCATTGAATATCCACATACCCATTAGGTAAATCATTCAGTTCCCCCATGTGCTTCTTTTTTTCCAAAGGATTCTTATGGTATAGAAATACAACTCCGGGAGAAGTTAAAACATTTTTTTAGAATGTAATTTGTTAAGGAGGAGATGAGTGATTAAGTAGAATAGCACACTAGATACCTTTGATCTTATTTATAGACTTAATTTGCAAACAAAGCAAGATAGGAGATGGTAGGTATTAATCAGTAAGTGACAAAGTTAGCTTTGGAGACATCTAGGAGTGGGAATATGATAGGAGTTTTGTGCAGAGAAGGCTATGTCAACAAGGGCAGGGAGTTTTTCCAGAACATTCATGAGGGGATTTAAGTGGTGACAACCAAATCTTGTTTGAGATTTGGCAGTGTGACTGATTCAGACAACATATTGGTGTAGATGGTGAGAGGCAGCCTGATAACAGTGGTGTTTGAGTCTAAAGCAGCACAGTCTAATACTAATATAATATAAAGCCACTTAGGTAATTTAAAAATTTCCATTAGACAGTTTTTTTTTTTTTTTTTTTTGAGACGGAATTTCACTCTTGTTGCCCAGGCTGGAGTGCAATGGTACGATGTCAGCTCACTGCAACCTCTGCCTCAGCCTCCCGAGTAGCTGGGATTACAGGCGCTCGCCACCATGCCTGGCTAATTTTTGTATTTTTAGTAGAAGACGGGGTTTCATCATGTTGGCCAGACTGATCTCAAACTCCTGACCTCAGGTGATCCACCCACCTCAGCCTCCCAAAGTGTTAGGATTACAGGCGTGAGCCACTGTGCCCAGCTTTAAACACATTTTAAAAAGGAAAAGAAACAGCTGAAGTTAATTTTGGTATTGTATTTTATTTAAACCAATATATCCAAAATATTATTTCAACATGTAATGATATGAATACACTGAAGTACTTTACACTCACATCTGTATACCAAGTTTTCAAAATCTGGTGTATGTTTTATTGTTATTGCATGTGTCAGTTTGGATGCTAAATTTTCAGTGAATTTTAGTGAATTTAAGGTGAATTATAGTCCTCCCAACACAATAAAGTTGTGTTTAATAGAAAAACATTTATATTGCTTTTGTATTTAAATTAAAATTAAATGTAATCCTGTGTTAATTAGCTTAGGAAAAGAGAAAAAAATTTAAAATTCAGTTATATGTTCACACTACATTTCAAAGGGGTTAATAGTTACTCATTTTTCCACTTTACAGTTTCTTGTTATAGAATGTAGACAATAATTATATCAGTGCTTTAGGGTCTTTGTGAAGCCTGGATACATTAATATGGACATAACCCTAGAGAATGTAATAAAGGCCTGGCACTTTAAGTCCTTATCTGCAAGGGAAGAAAAAAGCTGGTTTGTGAAGATTCTTAGTATTCCCCATACATTTTCTGTAAATCAAGAACAATGAAAATATAAAGTTAACTTTGATGGGCACTTGAAATGAATTTTTTAAAAGCCAGATTTGCAAATGTTCTATTAACTTAAGGCAATTTGACTGTCTTAGGTTTGATGATTTGCTAGAAGGACTCACAGAACTTAGAAAAGCTGTTATGCTCATGGTTATTGCTCATTACAATGAAAAGGTGCACGTTAAAATCAGCAAAGGGAAAAGTCGCATAGGGCAAAGATTGGGAGAAACCAGATGCAAGCTTCCAGTGTGCAGTTGCACAGGCAGCACCTGATTCTCCCAGCAACAGTGTGTGAATATAGATGTGAAGCATGGCCAACCAAGGAAGTTCTCCTAAGCCGTGGTTTCCAGGGTTTTTTGTTTTGCTTTGTTTTCTTGTGGTCTCGTGGGGGTTTTTTTTTGTTTGTTTGTTTGTTTTTTGAGATAGGGTCTCGCTCTCCCGCCCAGGCTGAAATGCAGTAATGTGGTCACACCTCACCGCAGCAGCCTCTACTTCCCGGCCTCAAGGGATCCTCCCACCTCAGTCTCCCGAGTAGCTGGGACTACAGGCACACACCACGACACCTGGCTAATTTTTGCATTGTTTGTATAGATGGAGTTTTGCCATGTTGCCCAAGCTGCTCTTGAACTCTTGGGCTGAAGTGATCCACCTGCCTCTGCCTCCCAAAGTGTTGGAATTACAGGTGTAAGCCACTGCCCTGGCCCGTGTCTGGGGTTTTTATTGAGGATAAGTCATGTGGGCATGAAGGTTCTGTGCACTGACCTTAGCTACTTAGTCAAGCCTATCCAGAAGTCAGATTTGTACAGGTATTTATCATAAACCACATTGTTACAAAAGCTATCTGGCATGGGTAAGACCTCAGATATACATAGACTCTCTTATCAGGCAGGATACTCTTAATTGCTCAGAGATTATCTCCCAGGAGCTGGTCAAGGACTATTCTTTGGAATGTACAGGGTTTGAGCACTCTAAACCAATTCTTCTTCTTTTTTTTTTTCAACAGAGTCTTGCCCTGTCACCCAGGCTGGAGTGCAGTTGTGTGATCTCGGCTCACTGCAACCTCTGCCTCCCAGGCTCAAGCAATTCTCATGCCTCAGCCTCCCGAGATGCTGGGACTACAGCTGTGCACCACCACACCCAGCTATTTTTTTTTTTTTTTTTCCATTAGAGACAGGGTTTCACTATGTTGGCCAGGCTAGTCTGGAACTCCTGGCCTCATGTTATCTGCCCGTCTCAGCCTCCCTAAGTGGTGGGATTACGGGCATAAGCCACCATACCCAGCCAGTTTTTTAAAAAATAATTTGTTTCTCTTCGTTGATATGTCATTTTCCCGATTTCCTTTTTAGTTCTTTTTCAGTTTTCCTTTAGCTCTATAAGCATATTTAAGACAGTTTTTACAAAGTATTTTTCTATTTACTCCAATGCTTTTGTTTCTTCAAGGGTAATTTATTTTGCTCCTTTGATGGGACCCTGTTTTCCTGTGTCTTTGTATGCCTTGCAGTCTTTTGTTGAAAATTGGGCATTTGAAGAAACTGCTACTTCTCCTAATTTTTGCAGACCATTGGAGAAGATCTTCACTAATTAGAGCCTTGGGATCATCTCAGGGTGAAAGTCTAAAGTCTTATGTTTTTCCTGGGTCTGTAGCGTGCCTGTGCTTGCACCTGTGTATGTGCTTTTACCAGTTTCCCCAATATGCATAACTGCTTTCAAATGCCTTAATTTCCGTAGGGTCTCATCCTTGCTTTTTAGGCCGTTGATGTTACATTATATTTTCCACCGGTAATCGTTTGCTCCAAGTATCCACAGGTGTCCAGGCAATTAAAATATCATTGAGTTTTGCATATTGATCTTATATCCTGCAGTGCTGCTGCACTTATTTCTAGTTTTAATAGTGTTTTAGCTTTGATGCACCACAGTACCCACTGTCCTTTGTGGCTTTTACCTGCCTGAGATCTGAGTTGTGCAGCTTTTTACATGTCAAAACTCAAAAGTCAGAGTGGCTCACGCCTGTAATCCCAGCACTTTGGGAGGCCGAGGCAGACGGATCACTTGAGGTCAGGAGTTCGAGCCCAGCCTGGCCAACATAGTGAAACTCTCTATTAAAATATCTCTATTAAAAATACAAAATTTTGCCAGATGTGGTGGCAGGTGCCTATAATCCCAGCTGCACAGGAGGCTGAGGCAGGAGAATTGCTTGAACCCAGGAGAAGGAGGTTGCAGTGAGCCGAGATCACGCCACTACACTCCAGCCTGGATGACAGAGCGAGACTCCATCTCAAAAAAAAATCAGACAAAATGGAAACCAGTACCTCAGTACCTCAAGGAGCCCGCAGACAGATTAACATGTTCCAAATAAGCTCTGCTTTGTTCCTTCTGGCCTGAAGGAGGGAAATGGGAACTGGGCTGCTTCTTCCAGGCTACGCTAGAGATGGATTAAGGGCACCAGTAACATAATAAACAAAGTCACTACCATTTTGAAGTGGCTTTCTCTTGACTGGGCATTTGTTTGATAGTTACAGTCTTTGAGTGATTTCCAGACCCTTACAAAGATATTTTAGCTAGTCTCTAGTTGTTTTTTAAATGTTTCAATAGAGAATAGGGAATTGAAGCTTCCTCAGATGCCGTCTTGCTGATGTTATTCTCATGGTTCTGTTATTATTTTCCTGATGTCTAATGATTTTGAGCATCTTTCCATGTATTTGTTGGCCATTTGTTCATCTTTTATGAAGAAATGTCTGCTGAAGTCTTTTGCCAGTTTTTAACTTGGGCTGTTTGTCTTTTTGTTGGGCTGAGTTGTAGGAGTTTTTATGTATTCTGGATGTTAAATGCTTGTGAGATATATGATTTGCAAATATTTTCTACATTGTGCAGGCTGTCTTATCAGTTTCTATAATGACTTTTTGATGCACAAAAGCTTTTGGTTTTGATAAATCCTAATTTATCAAAATTTTATTTTGCTGCTTGTGCTTTTGGTGTCATCATTTAAGAATCCATTGCCAAATATAGGCCAGATGCGGTGGCTCAGACTGTAATCCCAGCACTTTGGGAGGCAGAGGTGGGTGGATCACTTGAGGTCAGGAGTTTGAGACCAGCCTGGCCCGCATGGTGAAACCCCGTCTTCTACTAAAAATACAACAAATTAGCCAGGCATGGTGGCAGGTACCTGTAATCCCAGCTACTCGGGAGGCTGAGGCAGGAGAATCACTTGAACCTGGGAGGTGGAGGTTACGGTGAGCCGAGACGGCGCCACTGCACCCCAGTCTGGGTGACAGAGTGAGACTCCATCTCAAAAAAAAAAAAAAAGAATCCATTGCCAAATACAAGTTCATGATGACTTACCCCTGCATTTCCTTTTAAGAGTTTTATAGTTTTAGCTGTTATATTTGGGTCATTGATCTGTTTTCAGTTACTTTTCTTATGTGTTGTTAAGGAATTATGCAAT